AGAGATGGCCTCAAACCTAATAGAGATGGCCTCAAACCTAATAGAGACGGCCTCAAACCTACTACAAATGGCTTCAAACCTAATAGAGATGGCCTCAAACCTAATAGAGATGTCCTCAAACCTAGATTTCGTGGCAGGCATAGCACTTGGTGAACCTCGAAGTGCAGATTTCGCGGCAGGTACAGCACTTGGAGAACCTCGAAGTGCAGATTTCGTGGCAGGTGCAGCACTTTGTGAACCTCCATGTGCAGATTTCCTGGCAGGTACAGCACTTGGTGAACCTTGAAGTGTAGATTTTGTGGCAGGCACAGCACTTGGTGAACCTCGAAGTGCAAATGTCGTGGCAGGCGCAGCACTTTGTGCTCCCAGATGCTCGCTCTCTCACACTCTCACTCTCACTCTCACTCACTCACACACGCTCACTCACATTCACACTCACACTTTGACCACCAGAAGGGTAGAATTCTGCAGGAGTCGGATCATGAGGAGGAGGAGCAGAAGGAGGTACCGCTTACTGATGATTTGTCGGGCAGACCGACGCCCAATTTCAGATTGAGATCATGGTCACAATCTCATTGCTGGCGCAACCATCTTTTCGTACACCGTCTACACTGCCTACACCGCTTACACCGTTTACACCGTCTACACCGTCTACGTCGTCAGCGTAACCACCGTAACCAGCGCAATCAGCGTAACCAGCGGAAACAGCGTGACCAGCGTAATCGGCGTAATCCGCGTAACCAGCGTAACCAGCGTAGACAGCGTAAACAGCGTAACCAGGGTAATCGGCGTAATCAGCGTAACCAGCGTAATCAGCATAAACAGCGTAACCAGCGTAATCGGCGTAACCGGCGTAATGGGCGTCATCGGCGCATTCAGCGTAACCAGCGTAACCAGTGTAACCAGCCTAACCAGCGTAACCAGCGTAACCAGTGTAACCAGCATAACCAGCGTAACCAGCGCAATCAGCGCAGCCAGCCACTGCCAGCGTACCAGCGTGCAATCACTCGCGGACAAGCTTTGCCACGTCGCTCCCATTACCGACAACTTCACTGGCAAACAAAGCTGGTAGCGTCTGGTGAAAACATTCACATCTCGTTCACTGTTGGCCAAAGTACAACTTGCCAACTCAGCTAGCCCCCCCACTTTGGCCTGCTGACGCACCGACATCTCTAACAACGCCTTTGGCCACGCGAATGGCCGATCTGCATGTTGAGGCCTTGGCACGGGCAGGCACACCAGTATATCGCTGAAACTGAATGTGAAATGCTTTTCTCAATTACTGACAGTCAACAAAAATGTATGCGATTCTTACACCGTACAGTCTCGATAGATGAATGATAAATACGTATGTCCAGAATCCAAAACATACCCTGCACATCCCTGCATATATGTTTGAACCACATTCCAAGCTTTACACAGCAAAAGAGGGCGCTGATTTTGTGTTGGCTCTGCAACCTCTCACTTCTACAGCGACTGAAGGAGCACAGAGAACTATACAAGAAGCCACTGTATGTGACCACCTGGGTGTTGACGGGACACCGGTGAATTGTTTTATTGCAAACGGAGACGTGTTGCTGTCTCACAGGCTCACGTCGGTTTGAATTTGAAAGACCTGAAGACAAGGTATGTCACATACGCGCCTTTCAAGGTTGTGTTCACTGAATCGCCGCCTGCCCGCACGTTTCTGCAACCAGCTTTACCTCAGGAGTGTGGAAAACCAAAATGTAAACCAAACGCTATATGTGTCACAAGGCCTCTTTAAAGTATGATTTATTTTTGGTCTTGGGCTGGCAACTGGTGGAGAGAGAGAGAGAGAGAGCAACCCAAATGCAGCACAAGTGCAACTGCCGTACTTTTCAATCAACGTAGCTTCCAACATTGCAGGGCTGTAGGGCTCTGGAGAAGCATAGAGCGCGATCATGTTCGTCCATTTATCAACCGCATGCCGGTACCCATATAGTGCATTCGTCCACCGCCAAGAGGGATTGTGAGTGAAGCCAATTTTCCATATCATAGGTTCATGTTTAGAGAACAAACCCTCCATGATGTTCACAGCATGCTTCACCACCCGTCCAGCCAAAGCATTCGCCTTTGGTAGTTTGAAAGCAATGCTATCAAGTGCATTGGCTTCCGAGGTCAGGTCAGCCAGCCTTGTTTGGAAGTCAGTTTCCAATGTGACGTGGCTAGGACCAACGGTCTGAGAATCACGCCACCCTTGCTGGTGCGACGTCGCGATGGATCTCCCACGAAGAGGTCCATTGCAGAACGCGCCATGAATTTCATGCACCTGCGGACCTTTGACAGACAGCACAGGTTGCAGCTTTCTTGGGGACACGGTGAACATGGGGTTGACATGTGCCAAACTGGACAACTCCCAAGAACGATCAATGCTAAGGATGTTTTGCTCCAGCTCTATCACTCCAATCAATTTGATTTCATATCCTTTCCAACAAGAACATTCTCCCCAACCTGGCGGAGCGCTTTGGAACCCGGACTTGAACTGAAGCCTGTTGCTGCGTGCCTGGCTCCGTTAGGCTCAGAAACATATTGAGAATTTGGCATGCGGCCTATGCTGTACAGGTGAATAGCTTTCCAACGAAGGATGTCATGAAGGATGTTCATGGGACGTGTTTGGCTTTGGGGGAATCAAAAACATTTGGACAACCAGCAACTGGCAATGAGAAACCAATGCCAATAATACCATACCAATAGGACTGAATGGGAGACAACAGAAATCAATAAATAGAGAGAAAACATTAGACACCATAACATCCAATGTACTCACTGTATTAATTTGGACAACTGGCTAGTGGCCGGCTATATTTAGGGGTAGCCTCTATTGATCGTTCTTGGGAGTTGCCCAATTTGGCGCATGTCAACCCCATGTTCACCATGTCCCCAAGAAAGCTGCAACCTGTGCTGTCTGTCAAAGGTCCTGCGTGAGAGCAAGGTGCATGAAATTCATTTGAACGATCACGATCCCAGGATTGCTCCTAAAGGGGGGCGTTTTCTCTGGGAATCGGCTTTGGGTTGCGTGGGTGGTTCTCGGCGGCTCTGAGAACTCTCCGGCCGGTTCCTACGTCCTGGGTCGTGGCGCGCAGCTGGGTGCGCGGGCACACCGCGTGCCGCGCCGCATGTTGGGGATGCACTCCCGTTGCTCCCGTTGCTTTGTCCACAATTTCGCTACACCGCTTGCACCGTCTGCACTGTTTCCACCGTTTACACCGTCTACACCGTCTACACGGTCTACACCGCTTACACCGTCTACACCATTTAGCCTGTCTACACCGTTTACACTATCTACACCGTTTTCAGTGTCTACACCGTCTACACCGTTTTCAGTGTCTACACCGTCTACACTGTCTACACCATCTACACCGTTTACACCGTCTGCACGGTTTACACCGTCCACACCGTTTACACCGTCTACACGCTTTGCCACGTTGCTCAGTGTCCACAATTGTTCGCTACACCGTTCACACCGTCTACACCGTTTACACCGTCTACACTGATTAATTACACCATTTGCACCGTCTACACTGATTACGCCGTTTACACCGTCTACACCCTAATCAGCGTAGCCAGCGTAACCAGCCCAGCGTAATCAGCGTAACCAGCGTAGCCAGCGTAGTCGGCGCAATCAGCGTAACCAGCGTAACCAGCGTAACCAGTGTAGCCAGCGTAACCAGCGTAACCGGCCTAATCGGCGTAATTCGCGCAACCAGCGTAACCAGCGCAATCAGCGCAGCCAGCCACCGCCAGCGTACCAGCGCACAATCACTCGCGGACACGCTTTGCCACGGCGCTCAAGACATCGGTCTTAGTGCCAGCTCAACAGTCATGGAACTGCCTCGCTTCATCGTAGTTCATGGAACTGCTTCATCGTACTCCATCAGAAGACTGCGGCGTTTGTATGGAAAGAAATACAAACCTGCGCCATAGTGTTTTGCACTCCAGGTCTAGGAAGATCCACTCGCTAGGGTCATGAGCCAGTCTCACCACTGCAGAGCCATGAATCTGAGGCTCGTGATCCGAGTTGCTGTCAAGTACACGCTCATTTATTTGACCGAAGAGGCGCGGTTCAGCGGCAGCGTTTGTATAGAAAGAAACACAAACCTGCGCCATAGTGTCTTGCATTCCAGGTCTAGGAAGATCCGCTCGCTAGGGTCATGAGCCAGTCTCACCACTGCAGAGCCATGAATCTGAGACTCGTGATCCTAGTTGCTGTCAAGTACACACTCATTTGGCTACGGCCAGAAACATAAGGCTTGGATCACACACCCAAACCCACACACGATCCATACCTCGATCCATCGGGTATGGATCAAAAGGTGAGGGTGTGATCCAAGCCCTTGGATCACACAACCACCACCACCACCACTACTACAACCACCTCTGCTGCCACCACTCCTTCTGCTACTGCCACTGCACTTGCCACCTGCTGCTACTACTTCAACAGCTTTACTGCTGCTGCTACTGCTACTCACTACTATCACCAGTATTACCACCACAGATTTAGCGGAAGCCACTAGACTCAACTTCAAATTGACTTCCCATTCCAGCCAAAATTTATTACCGGAAGCCACTAAGTGTGGTCACAGCCAGGACTCGAACCACCACTACTACAAACCACTACTACAACCACCTCTGCTGCCACCACTCGCACTTGCCAAAAATTAATTACCGGAAGCCACTAAGTGTTCTCACAGCTGGGGCTTGAACCCTAACACTCTCACTCTGAAGAATTGGAAACCGACGCTTTTACCATTAGGCTATGCAACCCTTTGAGTGGAGAAGCCAACCCAAATAACCCATATTAAAGAAGGTGCTAGAACACAATATTAAGGCCAAAAAGAATTAGCGGCAGCCACTAACCAGTGTTCGGAGTGAGCTTCCAATCTAGAGCTGAAGCCACCACCTGTTAAATGTTTTGAGAGCCTACTGAGTCACCTATATGCGTGGCCAGCTGATGGCCTTTTTGGGCTTCTTGCGTCGTCTGCTTGAGTTGGAGAAAGAATGAGCCCCAACATTCATTGCCACCACTCTATACCCAACCATGCCCAATATGTGGACAGTGGAGCCCAAATTCACAGCGGCCAGAACTTCAAAACAGGCTTGCCACAAACAGGATGGCTTTGATCTGGGAAGCCACCACCTTCACAGTGAATTGGTGAGAAAGTGGTGGGGTGAAGTGCCACCATGCAGATGTGTTCATGTCGGGGGCTTGGATCAAGGGCTCAAGATCGCTAGAGCTTTTAGTTCTAGATCCACTTGTTGCCCCAGTCGTTTATTCGACGTAGCCATAGCTCGACTACGTAGTCCTGTCTGGCACCGTTTGCTGCGACGGAAACGTTCGAGAGCGAGGAGATTCCTGCGACGGAAAAAGCTCCGCAACAGGCTCACAACAAAGGAAAAGGACAAGCTCAAGGTCCGACAGCAACTGCTCGAGAAGCACCATACAAGGCCACGATACGTGATCCCATTGCTGAGTGCGATGACATGGAAGAACAAGGGACAGAACAGTGGCCGATGGAGCAATTGGAGCGGAGACTGGAAGACGACAGACAAGTCCGACAAGAAGAAGAAGGAAGAGCCACAAGGAAAGGGCAAAGCAAATGCAGGACAAGTGACGATCCTAGCATACGATGGCCGCAGAGTTGTGGTGCCAGAAGAAGGTGGAGGCAATGGTGGCTCATCATCGGCCTCATCATCTGGGCTACAAGAAGAGAATCGACGCTTGAAAGAAGCGTTCCGATCCATCCTAGGTGGCACGGCAGACGATACGACGGAGGAAGAAGTGAGGGGACTCCTTGCGGACGATCCTCGAGAAGTCCTACGTCAACAACAAAAGGAGCTCAACAAGCAGAAGAAAGCCCTTACCAAGACGGAGAAAGTACGGGCGGCCATGGAAGAGAAATCGGCCAAATGGACCCGATGGAAGGCAGGCTATTTGAAAGGCCTGGAATTGGAAGAGCAGCGATACAAGGAAGAGATGAAGGAGCTCGAAGCCGAACTCAAGGAAGTGGAGAAAGAGAAAGAAAAGGAGAAGGGTGGGATCATGGATCTCGATGCCCCAGAAAGCCACGAAGATGGCTACAAGAAGAGTGTCGACAACGAGCTGAACACCTTCCGCCAGCAAATGAAGCAAATGTCATCCTATGTCCAGATGATGGAACAGAGGAACCAAGATTTGACGAACCAGATGCAGCAATTGATCACAGCTGTACGAGATGTCAAGCAAGGAGACCTGGTCAGAGAGTCGCCACAGGCAATCAAAGCACCTGTCCATGTCAGATTGGATGGAGAGGATGCCGAAGTGGAAGAACCAGAAGCCAGGGAAGCCAGGTCGAGGTCGAGATCTCGAACGCCGGGACGAGCTCTCGAATCCGAACTACCGAGCCATCTGGCTCCAGAGGCAGCAGGTTTTCTCCCGCTCCTCCAAGGCATGACAGAAGAGACTCAGGATCAGATGCTGGCGATCCTCAAAGCGGAACCCGAGAATTTCCAAAACTCGGAACAGGTCAAGAAATTGATTCATGTGATGACTGTGCAGCAATGTGCAGCTCAAGTAGAAGTACAAGAGGGATCGGCCGACTCGAGCGATCCTATTTTCCAGATGGGAACAGGTCGGTTCGATGTGCTCAAGCCGTTTGGGGTGCCAAGAGAGCGGAAGGCAATGAAGAGAGGAGCCCTGCCGCTACCGGGGCCTGCCAGAACCGTGACCCCCAAGAACGGCACAGAACGGGCGAAGGAGCTCAATGGGATGTCCTGAGAGAAACCATTAGGAATGTCTCCTGGCTAGGGAAGTCGGGAGCTGAGTCAGTATCACGTTTCACCATAGATACGTTCTCATGCGCCGTATTTGAAGGCAGCAGAGATTTCACCTTTCTCCAATCTAGGCATTGTAAGACCTTGGAGTACGATTGCACTTCTGATGTTCGTGATTTGTTTGATCAGGAAAGTCACTCGATGCCAGATGCTAAGCAGTCACGGAGCCAAGGTATTACCAGGACATTTTGTTACTGGAGCCTTAGATGGTTGAAGCCATTTGCTCAGAGCCTCATCGAGCATTTTCATATCACGGGCTTTGCATGGGTACGCCAAAGCCTCCAGTTTGAACCGATGATTGAGGCTCAGGTGCTTGATTGGTCGACCAAGGATTTTGCTGGATGGTGCTTTGAGACCCTTCTCTCTGAATGGCTTGTCCCCATTCATGGAGCCTTTTCCGCGTGGGGTCGAAGTGTCATCTGGTTGTTATGCTTGCAGTTCTACACAGGTTGCTGGATCCTCTTTCTGGCTAGTGTTGCTGTTTGCTTCTATGAACTTGGCCGAGAAATCTACCAGATTAGGATGGGCAAAAGGACGGGCCTGCATGATTGGCCTCCATTTGAAAGGCTGGTCCCAACGGCAGGTATTACACTATGCAGTCTGTGTCTTACAATTTTGCCACTTGAGCTTTTCGAGACTTCAAGTGATGAGGGATTGACATTTGCTGTAAGTGTAGTGATGGCACTGTGCAAGATCCAATTCTTTGGGTTAATGGGCGTAGGTGGTTGTGTGATCTTGAAATGCCGAGAGAGATGTGTTTACAAGCTCTCTCCAGCTCGTTATTCTGGTAAGAGAAGAACTTGCCCCAAGTCCCGAAGGAAGAAAGGCATGTCTATTAAGATGTTATTTCTTGTGGCCCAGATCCTATCTGCTGAGGCCATTACTGTATCTGAACGCATCGGGAGTTCGATACATGATGATAGACCAGGACAGCTGTTCTCCCAGCCTTGTGGAACCTGTCCCAACTCTGCTGATTACGACTATCAGACAGAAGGCTTTGCAGACCTCCGTCCACTCCCTCATGGTCCGAGTGTCAAGTCTGCAGCTCCACCTCGGTGTCGAGCTAATTCGACAGCATTCGTAGATACGTTAACTAGACGCCTCGATGCTGAAGATGCCAGTTTTGACTCACATTTTGATGGTTTGTCTACACATGATGACCATACTAGTGAGGAATGCCACAAACTCGATCACGATTCGCATATTTTGATGCAGGTTCCCGCACCAGTTCCTGACCTTATCGGCACATATATTCTACGAGCCTGTGAGGGACGAGAGATTTGTCGAGTTACTACGTGGTTTCATCCAATTGAACGGATTGGTGTCCTGCAACAAGTCATGCGAGAAACTATATATAGTGATGCTTTCCCTGCTGGACCATCATATCGCGGAGTATGGGCGGATTGGCTTGGAAGACAGACGGGATACCTCTTTTCTGTCCAACCACTGCCTATTGGTGATTATGGTACCACACCCAATGTCATCGTGACGCCAATGCAAGGAGAACATCTTATTCCGACTTTGATTGATATTAGACAAGATCAAGCATTTTTTCGGGGCACTTTTGTCTTTACGGTGAGACGATTCCTGACAGCATTCCAAATCTTCGCACAGGTTCAGCCAGGACTTGATTGCACTTGGACAGCTGATTGCTCTGCAGAGACAAGACATACCTGGTACATGATTGTCCCACTTATTGAAGGACAGTACCTCAGGTTGAGAGTTGTCTATAGAGATGAGGAAATGACCACTACATGTAGCGGGTACAACAGTGCCTCCATACTAAACTCTGAGAGTGATACAAGCGATAGTGCTATTATCGCTGACCTCGGAGGGACCTTTTATCAAGAGGAGAATGAGGCTGCAGGTGGGCGCCAAACGGAGGGGTCTGGTGGCTCACACCCCTCGGCCACCTTGCAGACTGACAGTACTCCGAACTCAGATGAGTCCGAGGCTAGCAGTACTATGCAACTGATTTACCAACGTCAAAGATTCCAACCCACAAGGCCATTCCATGGCTCCTGTTTGCTTTCCCTCCAGAGAGATGATCTCCTACGACAGTACTACTACGATAATGTGGTAGTAACGCCACCTGACACGCAGATGAGCCAGGTTTGGGTGTTACCCGAGATCAACCAATTAGCAGACATCCCCATTACCCTATTTCGAGGGACTGATCGAAGACAAATGTCCGTACAAGCGTCTGCGGTTTGGAGAGGACATGATGGAGTAGGCATTGGGCAGGCTATTCTCTGTCACCCACGACCAAGAAAACTTGGGTCAATACAAGTGCCAACACATCATCTCCTCTTGGCTCCACTATATGTCGACCGACCAGGAACAACAGGTCTGTTGCTTGACGTTTATGCAGAGTATTCTGCGAATAGTCCACCTCAAGAAAGAGTTGCCCTTCTGGCTAGGCAGACAACTGTCCGAGGCCTGCTACGCATGATGGGTTATTCTCAATACAACGAGGCGATACTGGTCTATAAAGACCAAATGCGCGAAATACGATTTGGGACTGATGAAACGGTTGACCTTCCATCAGGGTCATATGTCCATCTCTATCTTGCTGCTCCAAAGGACCAGTGCAGTACGGGGAGCCAAGTTCTTCCTGAAGATGTGGCCTTGTTCCAACTAAGCCATCCTTACCAGAGCTATAATAACCTGGCCTCAGCACAGAGACGAAATACCTTGTCACGAACCAGGTTCCACCAAATGCATCATGCATTATCGGAGATCCATTATCACCAGGACACAAGAGGGACTTGGCCAAAAATATGGTTCCACAATGTAGGATATGAGCAGCCGATGATCTATGACCATGGGGACTACCTACCGTTGAATCCTTCAGATCTGACCTCGCTGTTTCGATATGTGTTACGAGACTACTATGCTGCAGATCAGCGAATTGATCTTGGTTATATCGACATGCAGCCTACGCCGTCACAGAGTGGTGACGATCGGGCAATTCATATCCTGGTCACTTTGAGTGGATGGGTTGTCAAGGTACCGACACTCATTGTCTGGCAATATGATGATGTTGCCCCGCAAGTACAATGGCATGCTGTGATGGCACCGCGCCTTGTGACCCAAGGTGACTGCATTGACCTTATTGGCGAAAGATTCCTTTGTACAATGAATGGGGTCCAATGTCACACCCTACATCAAGGAGCGGATCAGATAAGAGATGTGCCTGTGTCGATCCGAGCATGGCAAAGAATTGATGCTGGATATCAATTTCAGGTACAGTATAGCTGCAATGAGGAGATTGACCAGCAAGAGATGGGTCAACCGGGTGAGAACAGTGCAACACCCAGAACCCTCCATTCCCCTCTATCACCAGCTGATCTTACCGAAAGAGATGATACACTGACACTCATGCAAACAACGGCGTCAATGCGGCAAGTCGAAGACTTTGGTAGGGCTGCTGAACGAGGCATGCCGTTTTACAAAGTGCTCTGGATCAGCCGCAGGATGGTTACAGACATCTGGATGAATGAAGGACGAGATGTCGGGTTTGAACATTTTCGCATGCCAACACCGGGCATCTGGGAGAAACAGGTTCGTGGTTGGCAAATCCTCCATTATGAGCAATTGATTGGAGAGCCGTTTGCGGTGCAACTTAGGCGAACAGGCCTTTGGGCAACGCAGTTGCTGGATCCGTTTGAATCCGAAGGATTTCTTAGAATTGGGTTCATCACGGTTTTCCCACAACCAATAATGGATGGAATCAGCGGGGGACCCAGAAGTGCCTCAGATACTGTGGCGCTGGCTGTAACTGAAGAAGTCCTGGCATCAGATGCGCTTCCCCTTGTTGTGTTACATCATTTGAGTGGTGAGCGACAGTTGGTAGCCATCCAATGCACACCAAGCTGCTTCCCAAATCATCTCTGCTCCCTCTTGGGGTATGACGAGAGATGTTCGCCACCCAACGAGGCTGTGGTATACTTCCGCCATGATGATGTCCAACGCACTTTCTCAGGTATTGAAAGGATCGGACTACCTCCTGCAGCACATGTCCAACTGGGCATCAAGATAGCGGAGGCTTGTGAAGATGATACACCTGGGGCTTACCCGCTCAGGGAACATGAGACTCTTATACTGCCATCTATAGAGCCAGCAAGACAGGAACTGCAAACTGAGCCATCAGAACAGTTGGAAAACGGCTTGTCTCTCATGCAGACCCAATGGGCGCTTGAGATGGAAGCAGATGAGCAGTCTTTTCTTCGAGCTGCGGAAGAATTAGTGAACGCTGGCCAAGCTGGTGTTCGCGTGTATCCCAACATGATCCGGATCTGCAATGAAGGAATGGATCAAGCCGACCCACTTAGGCAATACCTGCAAGAGCTGTATTCTGTTGAAGGCACACCTATTTTTACTGTCCATGTTTGGGCAATAAGACATGATGTAGCGGCTTTTGCTCGGATTACACCCATGCACCAGATGAAGTCTTTTACCCAGGCCTTGCTCAGAGATTGGGATGATTTCGCTGACATGCAGCCGTGGTGGGTTTATGCAGCTGACCCGCCAGTTAGCCCAACGTCACTGCGATTGGTACCTGCTGATTTGATTATGATTACCCAGCAACAAAAAGACCAATATGACAAGGTATACCTGGTTGATATCCTCTACACGGGTCTGCCAAAGAGGGTTGCGATCCTGTCTCAAGCAGAGGACCAAGTGATTGATCTTCTACGGAAAATGGGGCTCCGAGAAGTTTGCACTACGGGCAGACATACCTGTTTGTTGCAGAGCTCACTTGCGCCGATGCGACAATGGGACCTTCTCGATCATATTGATGAGCCACACGGGACAAGTCTTTTCCTGCATTTCCGAGCCAAAAGGACTGATGAATGTCAGCCTGAGAGGACTATGTTGCTGCGGACGGATGGTGTTTTACAACCTAGCCATACAGGTCCTCGTGATGATGGGGACCATGAAGACCCTTCCTCGGGTACGGGTTTCTACTCTATGATGCAAACTGAAATTTCTGTTGCCTATGTCTGGTACCATGAGCAGGCTGAGGTCGACTCCTTTGCGACACAAGTTCGACGCTATGCCAAGGGGCACTCCAGCCGGTCTCACTACTGGACTGACCAACTCGATCCGGCAGAAGCCTCTTTGACCGAAGTCACACCGGCACCGGTGCATTTGGGCATGAGGAGACCTACATTTATATTGTACTCGACTGCAGTACAACAACGGATTCCCCTGTTGATCGAGCTGAATTCAGATGAACGCAGATGGTTAGGTACGATCCTATATCCTGCTGCATATCCACCTTACTCGGCACAGATGTTGTTTGACCGAGTTGACCCCCAACATGAATGCCAAGGTAATGCTCGTTGCTGGGGTACCACTAATGGACAAGAGTTCAGGTATCATCATGACATTGAGCTCATGCCAGGCCAATACATACAGTTCTGGGAACTCACCCATACTGAAGATAGCAGGACTACATCGGCTTGCTCAGATAGTCTCGTTGAATCTGGCAATTCTCCGATTAGTGATGATGAAGAGCTGCAACGTGGCGACAGTGAGCTAGGAGAAGACGGGTCTGAGGGCACCATCGAAGACCCAGATACCACAAACCTGATGCAATCTTGGCACAGGCTACACCCTGACGATGGGCGTACTCCGGGCTCCTTGACTAGATTGAGTTATTGCACACAACATCGGGTCTCCTGGCTTGTGCCCATGCGGCTTGATCAAGCACGTATGTATCTTGTTTGGAAAAGCTCAGGGCGTGATCCTGTAGCTGAGCACTTCATCAGACAAGGACTCCGACTCCCTTTGTTGAGCATTACGGGATGGATGTTCCAAACACATGAACAGGACTTTGGAAGCCCTTTCACCTGGAACTTTGCACCTGATACTCCATGGGCTCAACAGACAGCACAGTTACTGAGAGGCACAAGGTTGATCGATGCGCTGCTATACACTGTCATTCCTCAACCGACGGAGTACAGTCTACAGTCCTCACACCCACGCAGCCTTCAAATCCTGATCCCAGCCGAGATCAGTGATCAAGATTATACTATCTTTGTAGTAGAGCATTGCCTGAAACCGCCGACTGTCCAGATGGGCATCAGATGCATCATGCCCTGTTCCGTAAGAAAGCTATTCCAGATGATCCAGCTCGGAGAATGGTGTGATCAGCGACATCGATGTGTCGTGACCTTTCAGCATGGTGTCTGCAGAAAAGATTTCTTTGATGATGACTTGATCGATGCGCCTTTTGCATCCAAGCTCTCATTGAATGTGCTGCACATTCCTGAATTGCCGTGTCAAAGTTTCGCTGCTGTCACACATGCAGAGCTAATGGCTCGACAAGTTGCCAACCTACTGCATGAAGCCGGCTCGACCAATCATCGTCGTGCCCAAAGACAGGCTATGGAGGTACTGCAGCATACAGTGGAAGATGATGCCTCAAATGACTTCACATCCCTGATGCAAAGGTTTGACCCTGACGGAGGCAGTCAAGAAGAGCTCAACCAAGCTTCGGTGACTACCCCAACGGAGGGCACACCTGTGATCTCATCATCTGATAGTGTTCGGTTTCTACCACCTGGCACTCCTAATTTTGACTTTGACTGGATGCACACCATCGTGCAAGCAAGACGATATGTCACTGAGTATGGATTGGGGCCACGAAGACCTGGGATAGCCGACCAACTGGTCATGCTGCTTGCCCACTCTGAAGGTGTTACAAGAGTGGTTGTAGCGTATTGCCCACTTACAATCCTCCGATCTGACGTGGCAATATCGCACTTTGAACGATGGTTGCAAGAGTATACCTTCTGTTTGGACCCATCGATTTCAAGGATTTTTCCAGTCATTACAGAGCTTTACCAGAACCTTCCGACCTTGATTGTTGCACGTAGTCTGCCTAATGCTATGGTTCCCATAGTTGTGCATATTCGACTACGACCACCGACCTTCTGGGTTTATCTAGCAAGATCAAGAGAGCCAATTGTGACGATCCAGAGATGGATTCAAGCACAGATGGAGATTCCGGCCCATGCGATGACCTATAATGGAGCGAGAGTTGACTACCGCCACAGAATTGACCCCGTGGCAGGAGATGTGCTAGAAGTACGTCCAATTAGTTTGGAAGAATACATGAATCCAGAACCATCGACTACTGATTCTGGACCAAGTCTTACCCTCAACTCCCACAACACTTGGACTTCTGAGCCGGGTCCTGGGGGAGTAGCTGTACAGGGATATGTCACTGGTGCCCAGACTTTGGATCTCGACCACGAACTTCGGCCGATCCCACGACAGAGGGCAAATGAGCCGGATGATTATGATCTGACAGGATTGCTGCAGTTGACAACAATAGGAGCGGGCAAGGTCACCTGCTGTCCTGCTGCACTCGGCAGCGACTCCATGGAAGATGGGTACAAACTCTGGAAGCCAGAGCCCACCCGTTCGCTACGCCCCCCGGGAAATGTTGTCTATTGGCTGGGCAAGAACGTGGAGGCAATGGACAATTACCTTCACCTCGCTGGTCATGACTACGTGGTAGACGCCACGTATTGCCCTCTTAGCCATGAGAACTCTACACTGCCTGCGATGGAAAGATCCCAACCGGTAAAGATTGAATTGGCACAGATTTTACCGGCTCCTGAATTTGACAACTATGGGAAGAATGCGACAGAACAACAAAGAGATATTCAATTTCAGATCCAGTTACCTGATTTTGGACGATTGATTGACCAGCTCTTCCAACCTCGCATTCAGCCGGAAATCGAGTGGGAACATGTCCGGAGCTATCTGACAGAGGAATGCATCCCTGATCTCGACCATGTTCTCTGGTATGAAACAGGATTGCTGACTCATGTCGAGATTTATTGTGACGGATCCTATATGCCACAAACATGCCGATCAGCTGCATGGGCATTTGCGGCATTTGGCTCCCAAACTGATGGACGAAAGCTCCTCTGCTGTCATTGCGGGCTTGTGGAAACTGATCCACTTAGCTGCGGATGGGTAGGTGCATCTGAATCATCAGCTCGATCTGGCGAGGCAACTGCCCTGATCCGAGCGATAGAATGGTCATTTTGTCTGGCCAAGGATGTGCCATATACAATTTACTACGATGCGACCTCGATTGGCGAAGGTGCATCAGGACAATTTGGATTCCAACGAGAAGATGCGATGTTGGTTCTCCTCAGAAGCCTATCCTTAGCTCTTGATGCCTTTCTGCCAATACCGGTGTCTTGGCAGCATGTGAAAGCGCACACAGGAGATTTTGGTAATGAACTTGCTGATGCCCTGGCAAAAACGGCCATTGGACAGCAGCTGGAGGATGATACCCATGTTGACTATGTGCCATATCTAATGGGGAAAAGAAAACCAATAGAGACTCTCTGGTGGCATTTCGAAGCAATTAGCCACAATGGGCAGTATCCAGAGTTGGAGGGATGCTGTCAAATGTTGCCACCTCTCGCACGATCCCAGAACCCAGAGCTAGATTGGGTCAAGCATATAGATAAACAAGATGACGGAGTGCATCGTTACAAGAAGTTACAGCTCTCAGCCATCACTTACAATGTGTCCAGCTTACAACAGAATAAAGGCAGCTACTTTGTTTCGTACCTTCGAACTCAAGCTGATACTTGTGAGTATGATATCGTCTTCCTACAAGAAACTAGGTCAAAACAGTCCCAACTCACCACTTCGCAGTCACATTTTAGACTGAGTGCAGCTGCGGAGAATGGTAAGGGAGGATCAGAGATTTGGCTTCTTCGGAACAGACAATCAGATGGAAGGAAAATTTTTGCAAAAGAACATGTCCGAGTTCTACACGCATCGTCTGAAGTATTAGTGGTGCGAGCATTGTTCCACTCAATCCCGCTTCTGTTGTTTTCAGCTCATGCACCACACAGTGGATCGCCACCAGACAAGATCCGAGCCTTTTGGGACGACCTGATTGCTGTACTGAATCAATGGATGCCCACCAGTACGTACCTCATAGGAGGTATAGATGCCAATGGGCACTTTGAGGTGGCTAGTTTACCACATGTCGGCAGTCATGGCCTAGAAGCAAAAAGTAACTTGTCGGGAGAGTGTCTGCTTAAGCTGCTGCGAAAGTTTGATATTATGCTGCCCAGCACTTTCGAAGAAATCCACACAGGGAACACGGCCACTTGGACAAGTAATGTCAGTGGTGCGCAGGCCCGCTGTGACTACTTCCTGGTTCCATGTAGCTGGCAGAATGCAGACATAGCAACGAGCCCACATGCAGGATTTGATGCTGGGACACAAGGCTTTGATCATACGCCGCTCATGATGCAGGTTCGTTTCTTCCATGATGTAGTACGATCACAGACGAACCATGATCGATTTGATAGGCGTAGGTTGCAGTGTGCATCCAGACAAGAACTGTTGCCATTGTTCCGAGATCCACCTGTTATCCCCTGGCATCTCGATGTCGATAGCCACGCGACAAGACTCTCCGCCTGGGTGCGTCAGAAATTGGCAGAACATTTCCCGGTCCAGGGAAACAGACCACGCAAAAGCTATATTACCGACGCCACGTGGCAGATTAGAACTGGCCGATTGGAACAAAGAAGGCTCCTCCGAGAGCTCCGACAGAAAAGTGCTCATCTCTCACAGAAGATGGGATGGGAAGTTCTCCGAGGGAAGATCCTGTTCTGCCAGAAAACTCTGCTGATGTCCTGCCTCCGATTGCTAATTCATATCTCGACAGTTCGTGCCCAGTCGGCACAGTCAACCCGAGACTTAGGTAAGGCTTTGCGACGTGATAGGACACAGGCCTTGGAGAAGCTAGGTGAGATGTCTAAGACCATGAACCAACAAGAGCTAGCTGGGGAACTCCGTGCCTGGGGTATTCAGAGTCGTAAGAAACCCAGCCATGTGGCCCCTTTGCCGCTTGTCAAAGGACATGATGGAATGCCATTAGAAACTTTTCAAGCTGTCGCTGAACATTGGAGACGGTATTTTGCTGAACAAGAGGATGGCATACCATTATCCGTTGATGAATATGTGACAATGGGAACGGAGACCCAGCATGCTGCGCTTGTCAACCCGGCTTGGGACGATCTGCCCACCAGGCTTGAAGTTGAGGCTGCATTCAGACGGACAAATAGGCGACGAGCCTATTTTATAGATGGAGTTCCAGGGGATCTCCTGGCTGCTATACCAGATTGTCTTACATCGGCATATTTCCCATTACTGTACAAACAAGCATCCTATCAGACGGAAGCTTTGCTGCACAAAGGAGGGCGCCTGGTAGCTGCCTTTAAAAAGGGTGATGCCACCTTACGCCGTAATTATCGCAGCCTGTTCGTCTCCAGCGTGATCGGCAAAACCCTTCATAGCATTTACAGGAGTGAACTTGGCCAGGTGTTTGAACAAGAACGACTACCAATGCAGATAGGTGGGCTCAAGGGCCAAACCATCACGCAGGCCAATCATACTCTGCAGCTATTCCATAGGGCAGCGATTCATGCCCAAGAGAGTGTTTTCTTTTTGTTCATCGATGTACAAAATGCATTCTACCGCCTGATTCGACAACATTTTACGACTACGGCCAATGATGCGCGCTCTGCTGAACAACTCTTCCAGCAACTACGACTACCACGTTCTGCCCTCAGTGAGTTCATCGATCTTCTCAACAGACCGCCAGCGCTAGAAACTTCGGATGCCTCGCCATTTTTACGCAGCATCTTTGCAGAATTCTATCGAGCGACCTGGTTTACTGTTGATGGATCGTCCACAGTCACAGCCACCAGGCGAGGTAGCAGACCTGGAGATTCCTTTGCAGATGTTTGTTTTGGATTCACTCTGGCCAAGATTATGAAGGAAGTTGAAGAGACATTGTCAGAGAGATTCCCATGCTTGGCTATTTCGTGGAGCGGCAAATTGTCGCCATTCCCATCTGTTGTGCCTGGGGGGTGAACTCGGACCACTCATGCCGGTGTGGGCCGATGATATCGCTCTAGCGGCCAAGCATCGCCAAGCAAGTACGCTCTTGGAGTTGTTACCCGATATTACAACGGTTGCGCTGGATAGGCTTGCCCTTGCTGGACTACAACCAAATATGCAACAGGGAAAAACCGAAGTTATGGTAGACTTCCGTGGGCCGGGCAGTGTGGCAGTCCGAAGGACTATTGCTGCGCAAGATCACCTGATTCAGCTGCCGACGGATCGGATCACTGAGCCGTTGAGACTTGTTGGAACATATAAACATCTAGGCACAGTACTTCAAAGAGGAGCAGCACTGGCCAAAGATGTACAGATAAAGTTTGCATGCGCCCACGATGTTTTCACTAGATATAGACCGCAACTGTTCGGCAACCGCCAGATGAAATTGACGATCAAAGTCCAATTCTTTCATTCTCTGATTCTCAGCACTATTATTTTCAACAGTGCTACATGGCTGCCGCAGACGAAGAAGCAGCAAAACCAAGTCCACAATGGATTCCAGAAGCTGTATAAACGACTAGCTGTAGCTCATTTTGGCAGAGAAGCAATCGAATGGACAACCATGAAGGTATTGGCAGAATTGTCACTTCCAGATCCAGATGTCTTACTACGGAATGCAAGGCTACGATACTGGATGCAAGTGGTCCGAACAGGCCAAGCCCATTTTTGGGCGATGATCCAGACTGAACAGCGATGGTTTGCCCAACTACAAGATGATTTTCGATGGCTACAAACGAGATGCCCGGAGGAAACCATCCCGCAACTTTACCCAGAAACTTGGGATGAGATCTGTGCATGGGCATTCCAAGCAGTAAGACATTGGAAATCGGTGGTGCACAGAGCTGTTTGTCGAGCGATTGCACAACAAAAACGACAATATCAATGGGAGAACTGGCACAAACAAGCCCTTGAAGATCTGATTGACCACCAGATGATCCCTACTGAGCTTGTGCCATGTGAAACTGATAGATATTATTGCTTGGGCTGTCGTGTCACATTCCAGGGGCCAGCAGCGCTGGCAGTTCATGGCTTCAAAAAGCATGCACGACTGAATGTTGCTCGTTATTTCGTGCAAGGACTTCGATGTGAAGCTTGTCTCAAAGTCTATGCTAGTGAATTGCATACGATCAACCATGTCAAACGAAATACTAAATGTTTGCAATTCTACAAGGGGAAACCCCTCCTACAGCAAATCGGTCCTGGAGTCAATAGTCGTGCTGTCAACCAAGCTTGGGAGGCACTACCTGACCCGGTTTTTGTTGGAGAGGGACCTAAAGAATTGATTCCTGCTGATATTGATGACTGGGAACCCGCGGTTCAGCCTGAAGTTGACCGTCTCCACCAAGCCTGGAATAGTGCTCCGCTTACACTTGTAGGGTTGAAAGAGGCCACGCAATCGACGTGGTTATATCCCGATGAGCTGCGTCGAGCATACCAAGCCTGGCAGACCCAAACAGAGACGAATGAAAGCCTGACTCTTAAGGAGCTTCAGACTTTGACTTTGTTTGGGTCAAAGCTTAGTTATCATTGGCTGACGGACCAGTTAACCTCCGAGAAACCTCAGACGACTGAGGCGATGAGATTCTTTCAGAAGCATGCAGAATCGTGTGAAGCTTTTGCCTACCAGATCCACCGACAGCCGCGCTATAAACCAGGGGTTTTTGCGCATTTGTTTTCAGGACATCGCAGGCAAGATGACTTTCAGAGCTGCATTGAAAAAGCCCATTCAATTGCCATATCGATTGATATTATCTTTCACATTGAATTAGGTGATATGGCTAGGCCGCAGACATTTGCTCTGATTGCCCGGGCAATGAAAGAAGGCATCATCTTGGGGTGGCTCGCAGGACCACCCTGTGAAACTTGGAGCAAAGCACGTGGACAGATTCTCGAGGATGGCAGACCAGGCCCACGTGTGTTGCGCAGCCTTGCTGAGCCACACGGCATGTCGTTCTTAAATAAACGGGAAGACGAGCAAACCACTACTGGTAGTTTGCTCCTAGGGGTCGCGGCCCGCCTGCTAATAGTTGCCTTGCGGACCGGATGCAGTGCCATTCTCGAACATCCGGGAGAGGATGAAAATACCTGGAATTCAGTGTCCATCTGGCGATTGGCCTTTTTCCGGTTTCTCCTCAAATTCCCTAGATGTCGTAAAGTGCGAGTACTCCAAGGTCATTATGGGGCTTATGCAGTTAAGCCTACTGACTTTCTACTAGTGAACATCTCCCCGACAGCTGAAGAACGGCTTGTCAAGGGACGCACGACAGCCCTTCCGAAGTTTGCGGCGATTGGCTTGGGTGAAGACAAGCAATGGCGGACAACACGCCTAAAAGAGTACCCCAGGGCTCTTTGTCACACGCTTGCAGAAATATCCCTCGCCAGTCAGCCCATTCCAGCAAACGGATTACCCATTCCTACTTGGTTCACTGAGATCACTCATGCTCTGTGTGCCGAGTTTGATGTTGACGCTGCTATGGGTAAAGACTTTTGCGATAAAGGAAGGGGCCCACATAATTAGAATGCATGGCGATCACCGGCAATTTGCCTTCGATGTGCACAAGAGGAAAGAGGCTTGGATCAAGTGACTTGTCGGTTTGATCCATAGGGCTTGGATCAGCGCTCTGATCCATAGGGTTTGGATCACACTCACTGCAGCGCGGAACGATCCATACCAGGAGGGTTTCTGGCCACGCCCATTTATTTGACCGAGAGGCGCGGTTCAGCGGCAGCGTTTGTATAGAAAGAAATACAAACCTGCGCCATTGTGTTTTGCAATCAGGTTCGTCGATTCAAGGAAGAACTCAGGAAAGAGGCCTGGAGTGAATAAAGAACGACGACCCAGCATTTGGTGTCAATCAGGCGCAGGTAACCTGACGACCCAGCTCAACAGTCATGGAACTGCTTCGCCTCATGGTAGTTTCGGGCAAATACACGCTCATGTATCTCACCGTAGAGGCGCGGCTCAGTGGCAGCGTTTGCAGAGTTCGTAACATTTGCAAACCTCAGGGAAAGGAATACAAACCTGCGCCATAGTGTTTTGCATTCCACGTTCTGCGTTACACGACAGAGCTGAAGAATCTGAAGAAAGAGGCCTGGAGTGAATATTGGCGGAGGAGGGTTTAGCGATTTCTTGTGTTGCTCCCAGGTCTATGGATGGGTTCGCTTCATCTTTTGCTGTGGCTGTTCGGGCCTTACAAACCATGTTCGACCCACTCCTTTTTTTTGATCGGGTCGAAGTAGACGAGAGTTTCCCACGTTGATTCGGCACAGGTTGATGAACGACGTCACTTGTGACCCGCTGAGGCTGGCAGACTTGCGCGTGATCGCCATGGCTCTGGGCTGGGCTACTGGGCTACGCCATGTGGCAAGAACCGGTCGGACGCCAGTCCTGGTCGCAAGGCCGGCAGTCGTTTGGTTCGGGCTTCAGGGGACTCACCCTTTGAATTGTTGTAAAGAATAGATTTGTCCATGCGTGGATGGGTTCGCTTCGCGCGTTGCTGTGGATGCTGTGGCTGTTCGGGCCCTATCCTATCGTTTGATCGCTTTGGCATGGGACGGTATGTCAGGCACATCACCGTAGCATCTTCAAGGGGCCTCCAGGCTTTAGAGAGCCTTGGCCGGATCGGAGGCCCACGACTTGTCGAAGTTTTCCCATGCCCATATTACCTTTGCGCTGAACTATGTGTTTTCAACCTCCCTTTTTTTTCCAAGATTCCTTTCCCCCACCCTTTGGAACCTTTTTTTTCACCCTTCCAAAACCTTTTATTTTCACCCTGCACCCTGTCATTTTCACTTTGTAGCATGTTTCTTTCACCCTTCACCTTGTTTTTTTCACCCTTCACCCTTTCTTTTTCACCTTCAACCCTTTCTTTTCAACCCTCCGCCGGTGAAGCAGGTAACGCCTGGAATCTGCACAGAGAACGATGTCACCCCCCTGTTTGTTTCATACCGCTGTTTGGGACATCAACCCCGGAACCGAGAAGTCACTGCCGCCTTTGCAGCAGGCGCCTACTTAAGGGAGAGAGCTCCTATCTACTTAAGCTTCTAGGAACTGGACAGCTCACGCTTCTTCAAGGAAGCTCCCCTTGCCTGAGGGTGGGGGGGAGCTTCGTTGAAGAAGCGCTCGCACTATTCAAGTAGTTTCTAGATGTTTTGGGAAACTGAGAAATTACAATGCATCCTTGTGCAAGGCATGTGGAGGATTCACTGTGGAAATATCATTTCGTTCACTTAGATGGTCTAGACCCTCCTTGGTTCAGCCACAATGCATATCAAGGAATGTTCCCTTATTTCAACAGCCCACCAAAAGCGAGGAATACTGCAGGTACCCGCTGCATACATCGGCCAGGTAGTCCATATTTCCGCGGGTACAGTTCAGACTTGGATGATTTTCCTTCCAACAAAATTTGGAGAAGCGATGGCCTACAACCTGCCTCCAGCCTTAGAAGCGATCTCCCCAATTTCAGGAGAAGCAAGAAGAAGATTTGGTCCAGCTGATGGCCGGCGCGTCCACTGCCCTGAAGTCTGTGGGCTGCGCGCTGGTGGGAGGAGTGGAAAGAACATACATGGCTTGAAAGCACGTCACGTGGAAGTGGCCTCCAACCTACTCACCACGTCTATCCACCACCTGTTTTCGAACCCTTCTGAGTGACCTCAGAGATGCAGCTATTTTTCACCAGTCATGTGCATATACACGGTACCCATACGCATCGTATTTGGTTCAAGGAAAAAGGTGTACAATGTTGGCTGTTACCTGTTTGAAATAGGTTATCAGCCGTAGGACTCTTTTTCTTGCCCTTCGTTGCTTGTTCGTTCCGCGTGTGCCTGTGCCATGGCAGGCTTCAGGACCCCGGCGATTATCGATCTTTCGTCCGACCGGGATCAAATGTCCACACGTGAGGATACGCTGGAGATTGGAAGTCCCCAAGCACTTGTTCCTGTCGGAGCCGGGTATTAGGGCACGCCGATATGGCCTGACATTCCCCAGTATGTTCCTCCGGAAACAAGGAAACAAGTGCAAGCGGGAACGCTGCGCCGATCAACAACCACAACCACATGAACGTATTGAATCAGCACTTGCATGTTCACCATGCCCCATCCACCGGTGCCAGGTTGCTCCAATCGTGAAGAAAGAGCCAACTGAGGAATTCCCGTCCCAGCTATTCCGCCAGGCACAGCCGCTCAAACCGGAAGGCTCCACACGGGATGGAGAACGGTCTCCGAAGGGAGATGATGCCAAAGGGAACCTTCGGCCGGATCCGAAGAAGGCCACTGCAGGCGGGGGTGGTCCACCTGACGGCCCAAGCGACGGCCGGGGTGATGACAGGGACGACGGGGACGATGATGACGATGAAGGTGATGTGTCCGGTCGTGACCTATTGAAAGCCCTAACAGTTGGGGAAGAAAAGCTCTGAGAACCAAGGAAGCTGATCATATCAAGGTGCCTCCCTTTCCATATCCTGAAAGCTACCGCGACTGGAAGATTAAAGTTCGTGACGCCGTTCGGGCCGCGTCGAAGACTCCAGACAAGGCTTTCAAGTGGATCAATAAGGTATGGAGGGAGTGCGCCGTCACTGCCCACCTGGTAGACCTGGAGGGATTCACTACCCTTGACGCAAAGCTATTGTCAGCACTGCCGAATATTTTTTGGGCGAGTTTGCTAGGAGGGTGAATATGCTCAAAGAGAAAGAATCTGCAGCCGATCGCCCTGTAACAGGAAGGCAAGTTTTGTTGATGATGGATGAGTTCTTCGGCACGAACATAAAGCATGGAGCAATGTATTCGCTGAAAGACTTGTTTGCTGTGAAGCTCAAGGGTGAAAGAAAGCCTGAGAACTTTCATTTCGAATTGGGACACGGTCAATGCAGGGATCACACATCCTCCCGATCCATCCATGTTGGAAACCCTCTTCTATGAACAAGTCAAGAATGTCCGTGCCATCCAACATGACATTGAGGTCTACAATCGTGCTGAGGAAGGTGCTGAAAACCATTCATACAAGTTCTTTGTTGAAGCCGCGCAAAGGTACCTTCGGAGGGAAAGGCTTGAGTCGAACCGTGATCGGATCCACAGCAGCCTCGGAGGTCCGAAGCCGTCCGCTCCCACAGTCGACAATGATCGGAAGAAAACTCCATTCACCCCAAAGGGGTATTGCGTTGCATGGAACAAGGGAAGCTGCGCCAAAGACAATTGCACGTACGAACATGACACTCCTCCAAAGAAAACTCGAAAACCAAGTCGAGGACGATCAACCAGTCGGGAAGGTAAAGACAAGTCGAAGATTGCGCGCAAGTATTGGAAAGCAGGACGCTGCAAGAGGGGAAGCGAATGTGAATTCTCCCACGCAGGCAAGCAGAAGCCCCGCAAGGCCACTCCAGCCCGATCAGGATCCCGCTGTTCTCGCGGAAGCGATAATAAGGACAAGTGAAGAAGAAGGACAAGAGGGGCAAGCGGGACAAGAGCGGAAGACGACGCGGATCCGAAGCCAGGATCTTGTAGGGTTCAAGGGTTCCGGGGGGGTCGAGTAGGTCTTCGCCAGCTGCAGTCTGTCTTGTTGCGTCGATGCTTGCATCATCCGTTGAAGGACTTGCCACCGGGAACGGTTGGCCGCACATTGCCTGTCCGGCCAAGATCAAGGTGAAGTTCGAGACCAAACCGAACATCACCGAATACCGGACTACTGGTGACCTGTTCCGATACGAAGTGGAAGGGAACAATCCATCGAAGTTTTACCCAACCGATTTTGCTATGAGCCCAGACCCATCAGCCATTGAAGATTCAATCTTGTCGGCTAATATGCTTGCCGGACCTGTCAGGAATGAGTTGCAAGGGTTCAAAGCTAGGCGTCCCTTCTTGTGTAAGTCCACAATAGGTTGTGACCACTGCATACCCAAGAACCTGTATGCGACACCAGCAGCTTCTGAACAGCATGTCGAGCACTACCTCCTTTCAGGTGAGGCCTGGATCGCCGATACCGGCAGTGCTCAGGGTCTCGCAACTAAACACGATGTTCCGGACAGGTATCAGTTTTTCTCCGATCACCGCATGGTGAAAGCTCATCATACCTCCAAGGCAAAGTGAGAAACGAAACACTGGGTTGTAATTTCACGCCATACTTGCTTGAATCAACACCACCAGTGACGTCCGTAGGTATGAAGCGTGTGAATGAAGGTTGCGACTTTGTCTGGACAGCCGGCAAAGACCCGTACTTCCAAAAGCCTGACGGTGTCAGAATTGAGTTGACAGTACGAGACTATGTACCATACGTCCCATCGAGCCTCGAAAGCAATGCCTTGCAAGTCTCGATCCCGCCCTGTTGTCGACGCCGGTGTACGCTCTGACGCTTCTTCATCAAGGACTTCATCTTCTACATCCACCACTTCTACCGCTCCCATGGCCCTACCTGCTGAAGTCGCATCGGGCTCAGGTGATGCGGGGGGGTGGTGATGATGATATAGTGGGAGAGAAGCAGAAGCAGCTAGCCGGAAGGCTGACCCGCCCAGGTGACTGGAAGGTCGAGCCGCCAACGGATGAGTCTAAATCTAGTGATGATGCCATGGACGATCAGGCGCCAGGACCCTTGGTGGCAGAAAGGGGGGACGGGGAGAAGCCTTACTCGTAAGGAACCCATTCCCAAGAATGACTTTTGTGATGTTTGCCGGGCGCCGTAAGGCAAAAATCAAGTATCCCTCGAGGGCTAGAGGTGGATCCAGACAGATCAAGGCAAAATCTTTTGGGGGGTCATGTTACTGGGGACTTTGTCATCACCGCAAAGGGTGAAGAAGCAGGTGATGAAGAAGAAGGCGCTGGTCTTGTTCTGAAAGACATATTTACCGGGCTTACTGAAGTTTACCCGTCGGCGCGTGGTCAAGATCTTTTATTCCGATAACCCCAGAGCTACTCAGCGCAGCTCGCACATTCAGCGGCGGCGCATCACATCGAAGGACTATATTTCACAAAGCAACGCTGTTGCGGAATGCACCATCCGATCCATCGTGGAGGGAACAAGAGTGAACCTGCTGCAAGCTGGTCTTCACCATCAATATTGGCCACACGCAGCTAGGCATTGGTGCGTGAGTGACAACATCGCTCAGTTCGATGGTGAATAGGGAATACGACCCATTAGAAGGTGTTTGTCGTACATCAGCCCGAATCAAATGAACCACCTGTTCGTCCCATCCATTGACAAGGACTGTTTCATCCCTATTGACAGGTTAGGGATGGCACGGACCACGATCATGTCACGAAAGGGAAAACCCCTCAACCTCATTCAGGACAAGTGGCGCTCACGGGGAGAATACCCAGTTGATGAACCACGGACGGGAAGAACAATGTTCAGAGTCTATAGGCAGGAGATCCTTGACGCCTTGACAGATTGGGAGTTCCTTGCTGCTGAACGGGAAGGATCATGTTGATTAGCATGCTTTCTCTGAAGTCAATACAAGGGGTTTTCGTCGAGGACAACCAGGCTACCATTCGCATATTGGAGTCTGGCAAGTCTCCTTCTCTTCGACGCACTGACAAGACACAGAGGGTGAACCTATGATGACTATCCGAACAGTTCAAGCGTAAGTGGAAGAAAGCTGTCAGACTCATGGCCATCAGCTCTCAGAGCACCCATCGGAAAGCCGCCATCGCTCATGCAGGAGACGGGAATACGACGGCGGATGGATGCTCGGGGGAACCCGTGAACCTTAGCGCCTAGTTGTGGAAATTTGCTGCAACGAAGGACACAGGTAACTGCAGGCCTCCCTGAAGCGGATATAGTCAGCGCTCTGGCCTCTAAGAAGTGGACATAGATATCAAGGGTCAAATCTTGGAGAGGCATCTAGGCCAGCAGCAAAAGGTTGTAAAGTATTGAGAACCACTGAAAGGGACAACTTGAACAGTCCCACCTGCCAAAAGACGCATTAAAACCGAAGTGAAGATATTCTTCAGACCACACAAGCCGAACGACATCATGTTTTGGGTTAGCCTACCATGCACGGGGGGGCTCTCCATGGCAATTCGTGAACAAGCAAATGACACGCTTTGGACCAATCATGATGAGGAACACTTTCAAGTTTTGCTGAAGTTCGCCAAAGAGCAACGCACTCTGCACCTTGAAGAGGCCTTAGCTGCGGAAACAGAAACCTACAGAACATGGATGAGCAAAGCAACAGAAAAAGGCTGCAGGGGCCTGTACAGAACTCTCACAAGAGATGAGATGCCGTACATGAGGCCTTTCCAAGGCCAGCCTAGAACGGAAAGAATGGAAATGAGATTGCAACAATGGGGCGCAATCTGGAGGCTTCAAGAGCCCCCCATCACACCTGAAGCTCTGCCATACCTTCAAGAGAAGGCCTCAAGCCCTTGACAGACATCCATGTATGGAAAACGATCAAGCAGCCGGCACAGAAAGCACCTGGTTTGGATGGTGTTGGTTTCGACTTGGGCCCTGCCTTTCGAGTTTTTCCATGAAGCTGAAGCTCAAGCCACCATCCCCAATCAATGGGCTGTCTCGCTGATTGCACTCATCCCAAAGAATGCTGACATTCAAAGACCCATTGCATTGGTGGCCTCCATGTACCGGTTGTGGTGCCGCCTTCGTGTTCCATACACCAGGCAATGGCAACTGGACGTTCAGCATGAATACTTCTGGGAAAGAGCCATGCCGGGCACGGAATGTCTTCAGGCGGCCTTGAAACGAGCCTTCATGACGGAACACCACAATGCCACGCAGAAGACTGTGGTGTCTGTTTTGCTGGACATGTCCAATTTCTATGACCGCATCAATCTCCAGAAGCTGGCTCAGAGGTGGCTTGAATCCACCTGCCCTCCAGTCCACGTTGCTCTGGCAATGCAGGTCTATTGTGGTGGACGAATTCTTGAAGCAGAAGGTGAAGCATCAAGACAGATTTGGGCATCTCATGGAATCCTTGCAGGAGATCCACAGGCACCGCTGGCAGCCAAGATCTATTTGCCGCCAGCCCTGAAGAACTTCCACAAAAAGTTCCCGCAGCTACACACTGACCTCTGGATAGATGATTTGTCCTTTGATGTTGTTGACCGGAATCCCCAAAATGCAGTCCGGATAGCCATTGCAGCTTACAACCACATCACCAAGCTCTTGGAAGAGGACGCCCTGATCATATCGGCCAAGAAGACAGGCTTTGTTGTTAGCAATGCCAATGCCAAAGCCCTCCTTCGTGTCCAACTCCCTCCTGGGGGTCCGGCTGTACATGACGTGATGAGGGATTTGGGCATTGACTGCACAGCTGGTCGATTGCGGCGCATCCAAACCATGAAGCCGAGGAGGCTTAAAGCCAACAGGAAGACCCGCAAGCTCCAGGTGCTCAAGATTCCCCTTCGATCTATACGCCTCAAGCTTTACAAGGGAAGCATCATTGCTGGTATAAGTTGGGGCCATGAGGCCTGGGGCTAGCACCACAGGTACGCAAAAGGTTTAGAGCCACGATGGGACGACAGATGGGCCTTCATGAACCAGGTCAAAGCTTTTCATCGCTTCTATGGAGCATGGGCGGAGCATCTGGCCACAGATCTGGAAAGGGCATGGGAAGCGCACGCAGACAAACTTCAACACGCCAAACATCCTTGGCAAGTGGCCAAGGGTCCGGCTGCTGCTTTGCAATGCTACTTGATGGAGAGAGGCTGGACTGCAGAGCAACCATCCATCTGGACGAAGCCAGGCTGCGACGGACAAGATGACTTCAGGTTGGATATGCATTCCCAATTGTGCTCAAACAAGAGCTCAAGCGAGCAGAGGTTTGGGACCCCCTCCACTGCATCAGTCAGCGATCCCTGCTTGAAGAGGTGCATAAGCCCTTGGATTGGCTCCCTTGGCAAAGGCAGGCAAAGCAGCTCAACAGCCGCAACGCCACAGCTCTCATGACTTGGCATCAGGGAGCCATCTTCACTACGTTGGCAGATGGTGAACAGCGAAAGCATTTGACGTGTCCGCACTGTGGCCAGCTGGCCACCCCTGTTCATGTCCTCTGGCTTTGCACTGAGACCAACAAGCACGCTAGCTGCAGAGGTGATCGCCATTGTGCACCACGTCCTCCTGGGTGGTCAACTCCACCGGCAGGGTGCGGTGGTCACCGTCCTTCCGGGAAAGCAGTCTTGGGAGCGAGCTTGGTTCTACGGAATCCAAATGGCGGCTCACTATGTCAACTTGCAGAATCCGGTGGTTGTCCATGTCAGTTCCACCAGAGCATGGGAAGCTTGGACTCAGAGCAAGCACGGACATCTTCTTTGACACGCAAGGGCTTGTCACTTTAGATCAGCGTAGCCGTATCAAGGTCTTAGCCATCACACCGGCTCAACTCAAAGACATGCCCAACCGCATGGTCTTTGCGAAACCGCATGGCAGATGCCAGGAAGGTCGCCGCAGAAGTTGCCCGCAAGAATCCGGTCCGGAAGCACGTCCGGGAGTTCAACAAGCCGTGGAAATCCGTCATTGCCACAATCGAGAGCATTGATGAATCAATCACAATTGCATTTGAATTGCTTAAAGGTTGCGCGTATTGGAGGCTGCCAAAGGTGAGAAAGTCTCTAGACCAACATGACCTGTTGTCAGTTTCTTTCGATGGTTGTAGATTAGGACTAAGGAATCACAAAGACTTGCCAATCAAGAAACCTTGGACTGCAGCGACTAACAACACAGTCCTCAGAGATTCATTTGCACACCTGGAATGTAACTGCACTTGCGAACACGCCCCAGGCAGAGGAAACAGTTTGAAACGAACTGAAGAGTGTACACTTACGAAATGACAGACCTCCTTCATTTTTCCCGAGAGCGCCTGCGAAGGGTTCTTCGTAAAGAAACATCTGCAGAACTACACCTCCTCTACATCTTCACATCTTCACCTCTGAACAATCTTCACATCCTCGCATCTACATCTCAGCTCATCTTCATCTTCACACATCTACATCTCTGCTCATCTTCACATCTGCACATCTACATCTCTGCTCATCTTCACATCTGGATCGCTGGAATCAATGTTCGCGATGCCAACGGGAACGTTCGCCGCAACCCAAGATCATTTGTCGGCTTTCTGCTCCTGTAGCATTGCGAACCAGGAGGTTTGCCACGTCCATTTTGGCTGGCACTCCTAGTGCGTTCTTTTGTCAATAGTAATTCACAGCATGTGGCACCTTGGCACTATGTATGGAGCGGTAATGCTCCCAGTGTGCTAGCTGGAAACGTGGGCCGTTCATCCGCCCGCAGTGAGCGTGAAAGGATCTGAGCCTTGATCCGCATCATTCTCCACATTCGATGCATTTGTAGGTCAGTTGTATTGCACATAGTTCGTCAGCCCGTTGTGAGGTCTATCTGGGCTGATCCACTGCCTCTTCGGTGCCGCCCGCAATCGGGCCGCGCCGCGGGGGGTATTTTTCACCAGTCATGTACATACACGGTACCCATACGCATCGTATTTGGCTCAAGGAAAACGGTGTACAATATTGGCTATTACCTGTTTGAAATAGCAACTAACTAGGTCTGGCTGGACAGATGCTTTGAAAGACCTTGAGAGCAAACATGTTGCCTAACACCGACGAAAACTGTGGACTAGGACGACGAACGACTTATTACTACTACTCCTCCTCCTTCTCCTCCTCCTCCTGCTGCTGCTGCCACTACTGCTGCTGCTGCTGGTACTACTACTGCACAGGGCCATGTTCATCCAAATTGGAGGTCCTCCAGAATGCGCTCGGAGACGGAAACCATCAAACCATGACCGGTACCATCCGAGACACATTCCGTGCAAGTGGATTGCGATTTTTTCTTTACCAAACAGTGGGTGAAGTCCACTTGGAGGTCATCCCCAATAGGTTCCTGAAGTCTTTGGGACCGGATGACGACCGCCGGTCATCTGTCGGAGTCACGTGGTGAAAGCACGCTGTGTGCGCATGCAGGACACACGTGTGAGGCGCGAGAACTGGGTTTGGGCTTTGCGGTCACCGGGCAGCTCGAGGAGCGGTCGAACGCAGCCAGACATGCCTGGGCCCGCAGGGAAGTCCGAGTTCTGTGGGACCCTCAAAACTGGTGGTTGTTTGAATGACTGGGATTTGTGTGAAGGGTTCTGAAGGGGGCACCAATCAGTGATGATGAGGGCTAGCAATGGTTAACCAGCTCCGCCCTAAAAGAGTTGGTCCTTTTTCATACTGGGACCGTGTTAAGACACTGTGTGATTACTGTAGTTCACCTTGTGGCTGAGGAAAAACGCACCTGGGCACCGAAAGAGTTCCTTCCAGTTTCAAGGTAACCAAGACCAGTGCTACTAGGTTGGAGGCCATCGCTCTTAGGGTGGAGGCCACCGCTATTAATCGCTATTAATTGGTTTCAAAGTCAACCAAGACCACCCGCTCGACCCATACGCTTGTTTGGGTGATTTCTTGCACCTGTTCGAACAGTCAGCGCGTCCTCTCGCAAGGAGAACGCCATGAAGAAATCCTCGATGAAGCCAGGCAAAGAGAGCATGCATGATCATGCATGGTCCATTTGCTTGCGATGGGTGATGCACCAAAGTATCCAAAATATCCAAATTAAGTCCATCAGTGCCACTCCTTGTCAGGCGACGCGTTGGTCCTGACCAAGCGTTTGGGCATCTCGAAGCGATGTTTGCTTCCAACACGGGCGCTGAGAACGTGTTTTGTTCCTGGACAGGTTGAACTAAGAGGCCCTCGCTAGAAAGTTGGAGGCCATCGCTTCTAGGTGTTTTCTTTGGCGTGCTACTCAGCTGGCACGGTCTGCCGCTGAGTCTCTCCGAGGCACCGGCACGCTCTTTGCGGCGGACATGCGCGCCAAGGCTCGCGGCGTGTGGGTCGCAGAGGCGCTGCGGCGCATGGCGAGCTCCAATGGCCCAGCGGCAAAGATCCTCCATGGACGCTAAGCTCGAGCACTTTGTAGCTTTTTGTTACTAGTAGTAACAAGTGCCACGCTAGTAGTAACAGGTGCCTTACTAGTAGTAACAAGAAGCTATTAGAAACAATAAGCTAATAGCTTTTTGTTACTAGTAGTAAGAATGCTCCTAGTAGCGATGCCAGGAGCCCCTAGTAGCGTCCTTGCTCCGAGTGAGCGGAGTGAGTGGAGGGCCGCCTTCTGCTTCCTGAGATGGTGTGAGAAACCCCCAATGGGCAGCCTCAATTGACAGACCTTGACCCTCGAAGCGATGTTTGTTTTTTGGAATCGACTGACGCCGGTGCTTGTGGCCTCCTGACTAAACTGATTGTGCTCTTTCTCAGCGCTGCATGCTGAGCAACAAAGCTGCAAGATTCGCTTGATGCCCCAACCTTTATCATTGAATCCCCACATCTTGTCTTTGTTCGTTCTTTCCCAATGACATCTCCACCCTGTGATGTCTAACCATACCTTTAACCATACGTGAGGTCATGGGGCCAACGCGTGCACCGATGTCACGGGCTTTGGCTTGATCGGACACTTGCTGGAGATGTGCTCCCAGTCCCAGCTCGAGGCGACTCCGAGCAAGGAACGGCCTTTTTTCGTTTCGGACGTGGTCGGAGGCAGAAGGTGTTATTTTTGCTCACTGAAAAAGAACTTCGAAAGAAGAGCTTTGAACCCGAAAACCTTTTCCAAGGAGTGTTTGTCCGAAGGAGTTTGAATGCTGACCCTAAATCGTCGTTGATTCTCGTTGGACAAAATTCAATCGACATTTTTTTGGCGATGAGGGCTCCAGAAGTCATCCACCTTCACGGCTCAGCCGTGATCCAAACGATCTGTTCAGCGTTCGAGGCCATCGCCCAATTCTCTCTCCTCTCTCTCCGCTATTAGGCTGGAGGCCATCGCTATTAGGTTTCTCTCTCCCACTCTCTCTCTCTCTCTCTCTCTCTCTCCGAGGCTACCGTGGAGCTTTCGAAGGTGCCACTCTACGAGGGCGCTCTGGAGACCATGGCCATGGGCATTGAGAGTTCTCTCCAGGCGGGCGGCATTGGGAGCGCATTCGCCTCCTTAGTCCCTCTGCAGGGCGGGTGAAAAACCAAACGAGGCGCGTGAGCTTTGTGTTTTGGGCGCCTCATTTGGGAGGTTGAATACGGCTGGACTTGCAGAGGAAAAAAATTACAAGGAAACGGTGTGTGAGGAAAATAGGGGTTCTGTTCTCAGCTATCGGATGACCACACAGGTCATGGATTCCATCGCTGTCATGTAGCCAAGGCTACTCGTGTGTTGATTTGTGTGCCGGCGTGTAGCAATCGAAGCTGCGCTCATGGTTCAGCGCCTCGTGGTTCATCCCGCAGGTGGCCAATGTGCGCTTGCGCCGGGCTGTGAAGAGCACGGAAGAGGCTGGGCCGCACCGGTCCACCCCGTCGAGGAGAAACGTCATAAGCTCAGGCCAATTTGGGACAGGCGTCTCATCATTAGAAGAGGGGAGGCCATCACTTCCACGTTGGAGGCCATCACTCTTCTTTTCATCTCGATCTTCTGCTCTTCTTTCCGACGCCAGGTCCGCGCGCGGGCGGCGTATCCGCTGCTCTTCGACCCCCAGACCTCCGGAGGGCTCTTGGCCTCGCTGCCGAAGGTCGCCGCCGAGAGCTGCGCGGCTCGGTGTTCGATTGGCCGCTGAGAAGGATTGGCGCGGCGCCGAAAGAAACTAGTAGCGTCCTTGCTCCTAGTAGCGATGCCAGGAGCCCCTAGTAGCTTCCTGTTACTAGTTATGTTTCCCTACAAATCTAGGAACCAAGTCATTAGTGATGTTTCTCCATTTCACGGTGTCTCTGACTGCGGAAACCCAAGGTCCGCGAGCTGCTGGCTGCCGGCCTGGAAGCCACGGTCATCGGCGAAGCAACTGGGAGGGGCCGAAAGGTGTGGGCGGAGAAGACCTCCCCCCTAGTTCCTACTAGCGATGGCCTCCAACCTAATCCTGATCGCAAAAAGGCATCAAAACCTGCTAAGACCAAACTGGAAGGGAAGGAGACTCCGATTCGACCACCGGAAGCTGGATTTGTATTTGTTTAAGATTCTTTGTTAGTTTGTGTATTTGAGTTGTACTTCCTTTGCTGTCAGTTTGAAATAAAGTAGTTGGCCTGAGTGATACTTTTTCAGGAGTTTGCCAGAAGTTTGCCGGGCAGCCGCTCTAGACACACAGAATCAGAAGAGAGCCTTGTAGCGTCCTTGTTCCATTGTGTTGAAATGTTGTGAATAGATAGCCATTAGTAGTTGGTAGCATTATAGTATAGCCACACTGTTTGCAAGTTTTCTGTGTTCAAGCACATGCAAAGATCTAGATGGTTGATGGGTGCAAAAAGGAGTGATACTTGATCCTGAAGTCCTCCTTGCATGGGTCATATCCAAGAACACAGTTGGATGATATTTGTGTTGCATGATACCAATATCGGCATTTCAGACGGGTGAGAGGTTCTCATTCGAACAGATCGCCAGGTCACGGGCCCCGCGAGCGAGCTGGAGATGATCACCGTGGCATGAGACGGCGATTGATGCGACAACAGACCTGACCTATCCAAAGTGATGAGTCACTCCCCAACGCGCGATGAGTCACCCGCCAATCGATTTCAAAAAAGTCGTTTTATCTCAGCGAAGAAACATTTTTCGCTACTAGGAACAAAGGGCATCGCTACTAGGTCCTGGCCTTACTACTAGGAACAAGAACGCTACTAGTAACAAAGGGCACCAGTTCGTAGGCTCTCGGGTCGGGAATCGTTGGTTTCGCAGCGCCGCAGCGCCGCAGGCGCTGGATTTGGCACTGAAGACCTTCGCTTTCGGGCTCTTCCCCAGGCGAAAAACACAGTGGTCTTGTTCAGTGTTTGGAGGGCCGAAGTTAAGTCGCAATTCCGCCAGATGAGCATGCGACTATTTGGCAGTAGAGGTCTATTGACCGTCATCCGCATCCACTATAGTAGTCAAAGGTTGATACAAATACCCAGAAAGATCCTCTTAATGTGAAAGATGGTTCAGAATGATTCAGGAACCATACTCTTTTCCTTCCACGCTTGGCTGAAAACCTGGTGCGAAAATACCTTAGCTGAACACTGTGCCTGGGAGACGAACGTGTAAGCTGTCGAGGTGGACGAATGATGAGTTGCCCTGCAAGTTGCACAGCCACATGGCCGCAATTGATCCAAGCAGCCAAGCACACGCTTTTGAACCAGACTGACAGACCAAAGCAAAGACAAACATGGACTTGGGGCAGCAAGGGGCTTGCAAGTGGGCTTGCAGCTGCTTGTATTGTGATTGAACGTGAAATCCTTGGAAAAAAAACTATCCAAGCCACAAAAGCGTTGTTTCTTTTCGTTCAACTGACCACCTTGGGCCCTCCAAACCACTGGGTTGTAGAGGAGAATTGCAAAAAAGGGTCTTCCACGGGTCAATCTTCACTGGTTAGTGTGCACGGGGCTATGCATGGCCCCATCCATCTGTTGCCCACACAGCTCACAGCATGAGGCTACACCTGTGTCGCAAGCCCTACGGAGATTCCGGGAGCGTGTGGGTGCACAGGAGCGTTTTTGTGAGCGGACCAACTAGCTGTTTTGTGGGCGGACCAGCCCACTGCCCACTGAATTGCTAGGTGTGCAACTGAAATGTGTGGTTTTCAATTGTACAATTCTGCAACTTTCTGGTATTGGTTGTTGCACATGGAAGGAAATCCATGGCTAGAGCTCCACCATGCTCTACCGATGTTTATATCTTTTTCGCAAGGAAATGCAATGTTTGTGAGGTTGATGTTGGTGTCCTGCCGCTTCCCTGTTTGCTCGCCACGTAGACGGGCAGAGTTTTTCTCCAACTCCCCTTGCCGATCGACACGGAATCCGAGGGTGAGGTAGTCGCTTCGGAACGCAGAAAAACAATCGCTTCGGAACGCGTGTCATCGCTAGCAGGTTGGAGGCCATCGCTACTACTATGGAGGCCATCGCTAGTAGATTGGAGGCCACCGTGCCCACGATTGCGTTTGTTATGGTACTGTGGAAGCAATTAGCAAAAAGAGATCATCATGTAGATGAATGTCCAGACAGGCGTTATTAACACCCCCCCACCCCATCCCCCCCACCCCACCCCATCCTTCATCTTTAAACCCTCCCCATCCGTGTCTGTGTGTGTGTTCTAAAGTGACCCAAAAAAAACAGGTTTGTTTTGTTCCAAAGTGATCTCGCTTTTTTCAACCCTTCCATGTGTTTGGGTTGTTTTGTGTTCCAAAGTGACACATCTTTTGTGTTCCAAGTGAACTAAAACTTGTGTTCCAAAGTGACTCTCCCACCGACTCCGAGTGGTCGACTCTGGCTCTCCAAGTCTGAAGAAGCCGAAGTGGCGGTCGATCAACAGACCACCTTTGATTCCAAGGTTCACACCTGAGCTCCCTTCATCACGAGGGGACATGAGGACTTCGACGGGGAGTCTTGTTTACGGTCTCCACTTCGAAGACTTCGACTATCGCCTTAGGCCGGGCTTCACCACCTTGTCCGGTGGCCAGGATGGTTGCCTGGGACTCACGCCCGAGGCGCGTGGCGGTCAATCCCCGAAAGGAATTACACTGTGAGGGCCCCGTTCCCGAAAATGGTGCTTCAACGATGGACCGAAGGCAAGCGAATGGGGGGCAAGTTCAGGCGGATGGACAACTCCCTGGAATGCTTGCGAATGGAAGGGCAGAAGGCAACAAAAGGTTTTCCCAGGCTCAGACTCCGACCCAGTCACATTCAACACGGAAGTGAAAACATTGGCTGTAGAAAGATTATGAAAGACATCAAAGATTCAAGACGATTTTTCCTTTACAACACAGATCAACACAGGGAGGTGAACTCCACTTCCATGTCGAGTTCGTCGGAGCAGGTCGGAGTTTAAAAACGCTTCGATCACCATTTTTATCCATGTTTCGTGACGCCCGGGATCTGCAGCTCGTCACAGGGCGATGTGCATCGGTGGGTGGCCAAAGCCGGTTGCGTGAGGGTGCCCATGCCGTGGCGAATCGTGGCGACCGGGTCTATGGATGTCTTGGGTGTTTTTGCGTGTGTTTATGCTTTATGTGGTTCTTGTTTTTTCCTTCTTTTCCTTTCCCTCCTTCTTGTTTGGGTGTCCCTGGATGCTTTCGTCATAGCTGGGAACCCTTCTTTTCTCTTGGTGTGTCCTTGGGCGCTTGTGTCGTAGCTGGGAACGCCTTCTTTTCCTTTCCTTTCTTCTTTTTCTTTCTTCTCTTCTCTCCTTACCCTACCCCTCCCTCTTGTGGGGACCTTAGAGTGGGACGCTACTAGGGGCTCCTGGCCTTCCTACTAGGTGCAAGGACGCTACTAGGTAAGAGCGCCTCCCCTTGGGGAGGCATGTGTGTGTGCCCCTTGTAGTCACAGGGATTCTTTTTGAATTGTTTATAGCAGGGGGTGCCAGGGATGCACACTGGACTGGCACCAACGAAGACGCCAGTGTTGCTTCTGTGAAATCAATCCGGGACGCCGGATTGACGTACCTGCTTGGCAGAAAACCTACGTAATGGACAAGCTGTTCCAATTCTGTGTTTTGCAGTAATTGTCTAGTGCTGACCTCACCGTCGTTGAGCTTTGGAGATCGTGACTTCAGAACTTTCGGCTTTGGAGATTGGTGGAGCTTTCCCCTTACTCACCTTGATTTCTTAGGTTTTTCACTTAGGCTGGCGTGTGGCACCGC